TTAGACTGAGGGTCTTTGTGAGGGTGCGCCTGAGAACATGTTTATATCAATCGTTTGACCAATAAACAGATATTGATATTATCTATTTATATGATTGTTTGTTATTTAAAATAAACAGTTATCTAGTGAATAGATCATGGCCCTTGTACTTTGGCCGCCAGTACTTGCAGTAAGGCATGCACACGCTGAGCGTTCAATCAGCCTTTGTTGAACTGAGCCGAACTAAATAAGTCAAGTCATCGTGTTTTATTGATGTTGTGCCACATCATGTATTTTGTCCCCATTTCTGATTTTACGTTTTCAGGTGTCTCTGTTCAACTATGTGTTTTTGATTTCTTGGGCTTTTGCTCTGCCATATACCAAGCTGCGTCGCGTGGCTTCAAGTGTCTGCACTGTGTGGACGTGTGTGATCATTGTCTGCAAAATGTTATACCAGCTCCAAACCATTAAGCCCGAGAAGTTTTCTGTTAACTGTTCCTTGGTGAGTTTCAAACATGTAGGACTATTCCTCTCTGCCTGAAGGGAATTGAGGCAAATATCTGGGGACCTTGCATTTCCAATTACAGTCTTTCTTTTAAGTCACCTGACGTAGGCTGGCTAGATATAGTTCCACTGTGTTTGGTTGCAAATCTCTTCCCATGCTGAGATTTGCCCTGTGAATTAGATCTTTTCCTCCCTAGACCACCAATGTGGAAAGGGTGGGGGGCTCAGAGCTGAAGAAAAGCTATCTGGATTTTTCTAATCTCACTCCATTTTGTCCTTTTTTCAGCCAAATGAAAATCAGACGAACATAGCCCTCAACCAGTTGAACACATCCATACTCTATAACTCATCCATCGACCCCACGGAGTGGGTTGGCCTAAGGAAGTCTTCCCCCTTGCTGGTCTACCTAAGGGTAACTGCTTCATTGTATTCAGTGTGGGCATTGGCATAGTTGTGCTTTGAAATTAGTTCTTTTGAGACTATCACTTTGATGTGGAACCTCATCCCTTTATGTATCATTTGGAATAATGTTCAAAACCAATGACTGATATCAAAATAAGTATTGAATTGTGATTAAAAAAATGATCAAGTAGTTAAACAAAGAATGGTAAATGTGTTACAACTGCAACATGACACGTATATAACCACCGAATGTTTGAGGCCCTGCTCAGGCAAATGGGACTAGATCCATGTATATATTTGATAACAAATTTCTACATATGTATGTCCATATGCTACAAATAAATCCATAAACAGAGTACAACATACAGGGGGAAAACCTATGTAAACGTTTTATGCATAACTAAACACCTCGAGGCCATGAATCACTGTGCCTGGGGGGTCAGGACCATAGTCTTGAAAAACATTGAGGACAATTAGTTCAACAGAGTGCACAGAAACCATGTCCTCCATCTGGTTTTGGTGAGTAGCAAATGAGGAATTAGAAGCTTGTAAGCAGCCATCTAAGGTGCAACCATCGGTCTTTCTCTGGAGTAGCGAAGCCTGAAGGAAAACAATCATATATGGAAATATTGGGCAAAAAGGCCTTGTGGAACACGCAAACCAGAAAAATGGCATGGTGCCTACCTACCACCAGAGCCTATTAGAAGTTCCTGGAAATTGTTTTCGTGGCTAGGTGTCATCAGATTGGCTCTGACTTACAGCAACCTGATGCACAAGCCTTACAACTGTTCCTATGCTTGAGCCCAGTGCTGGAGCCTCTGTGTCAATCCATCTCCCTGAGGTCCTTCCTCTTTGTCATGACCCCTCTACGAAGCTGGATATCCTTCTCCAGGGACTGGTCTCACCTGAATAGAGTGGGAACAAATAGAAATCAAACCTCAAACTCACTAATCAGATAGCATTGATTAAAGCTTCACAGCTGAGGCCTTTAATCCCCCTTCTGGCCTAGAACCTAATGGATCCCCCTGGCTCAAAATTCATGAAAAGAATTGACCACTTAAGATCAAATGGTTGCATTTATCCAGAGACAAAATTCAGAAGGCTTGAAGTGCTCGTAAAGAAGGTGAAATGAAAACAGGACACTAAGGGAGGAAGTGGGAAGAGTGACGTTACATTGTAGGGATGGCAACCAAGGACATAAAACAAAGTGTGTTTAAATTGTTAAAAGGACAACTGATTTGCTGTGGTTCACCCGAATCACAGTTGAAGATTTAAAATAAAACAAACACAAAAAAGATTCAGGTAGATGATTGAAAGAGATCAAAAATAGATTAAAATAAAAATAACATAAATGCCAAAGCACTATGTGATCCCCACTAGCACAAATAAAAACATTGAGTAGAATATGCCAAATGGTCAACAGCGATTTCCTCTGAGAAGCGGATTTATCATTACCAGAAAGATTTTCTATCTAATTTCAGAATAGATATCATTGTTAATAAAGAGCACATACAATAGTGAGTCAAAAAATATTGCTACCACACTCTAGAAGCTTTTATTAAACAAAAATATCAAATTGTGATGCCATTGTTTCTCATCATATCCTCTATCTAGGTCTGTAGTTTTGTTTCTCTAATTTACACCACATTAAAATTGCCGTTTTAACTTTCCGAAGGTCCTCAAATCATGCTGCTTTTAAGTGTTCTTTGAGCTAGGGCAACAAAAAGAAATCTGAAAGGGCAAGATCAGGTTGTAGTACCAATGGGGTAAGGCTTCCTAATAAAAATTTCATGAGAAACCTTTACTACCATTATCAAGATTGTGGGGAAAAACCTTTACTACAGTCTCCTGACCTTTAAAAAAAATGTTAATATTCAGGCCTCCATTATCATTCTATGTCCTTCAAGAAAATCTATAAATAGTAGCCCTTTGACTTCTAAGAAAAGTCACCATATTTCTAAGCTGACCTCTCTCCTTAAATTTATCAGGCCCATCAGATCCTGTAGAAAATTTTTTATTGTACTTTTTTTTTTAAGGCATCCGATGAGACTAAGAAAAGTTACTGACAGGACTTGTCTACATCCACTCATTGAACCCAGAGACATGTTTAAACATGTTTCATTTGGCACATGCCCATGCCCATGTGAACTGGAACCCGACTCAACATCAGATTCACTGGGATCTAGTCGATTCCAAGTCACAGTGACAGAGTAGAGTGACCTTTCAGGTTTCAGAGACTTTAAATGGAAGTAGACAGCCTCATCTTTCTCCAAGGCAGCAACTACTGGATTCAAACTGCTGACTTTGTGGCAGCAGCTCAGGTCATAGCCCACTGTGCTAACCAGAGCTCACTGGAACCTTAGTAGCAATATATATTTTTTATACTTGCCCTCACATTTGTTTACAAGCAATAGATTAAAATAGCATATATTCTATAATGAATTTTGCTGTCAAATAGTTCTGTTAAACAGAATAACGGCAGTATGTTTCAATCTGCTACTTGAATTACGTCCATGTCTTTTCCAACAGAAAGATTGGCCTTGGTTAGAGCCAGAGGCAGTGTTGGAGAAGGCTCCTAGAAGGAAGGAAGTTGTATCCAGTACCACAGATTTTTACTTTCTTGCCTTTTGCATACATTCCCTGGCTTTTTCAGGGTTCTCATAGTATTCCTGGTACAGGCATGCGCTGGTCGCACTAGATGGTGTTAGGTACAAGGAGATCTGGGGAATCTAGTTCTTTCTGAGAACTTCAGTCCTCAAGATAGCAATGGCTCTGTTCTATTTAGAGGAAGCCTGGCTAAAAGAATGTCTCTGATTTCCCATCCTATTCAGTAATCCAAGGGAACAATTCTTGCCTCTGTCTCTGGTCCAGGTCTCTCCTTTTGCTTTTGTTCCTCTGCTGTGTGTGTGTGTGTGTGTGTGTGTGTGTGTGTGACTTTAATGACTCCAATGAGCAATCTAAATATTACATTGGCAATATCTTTAAAAACATAACCTTTATAACCAGGACCTAGAATCATTTGGACTAAGTGTCTCTCTTTCTTTGACAATGTAACTTTTTGGTTTTTCCTCTGTGGCATTTTTTCCCGCCTTTTTTGCTGAGTACAGCGTGCTTTGTCGATTGTACACGACCAAGGTGGGCTCTCTAATCCCTCCCCTTCTTCAGGGGTTCTGGGGGGAAATTCTCAAGGATGGTATATTTTCAGTGTGTTGGAGGATTGAGTTGGAGCAAAGACTATCCAGCAGCTGAGGGCCTCTCTCTTCCTTTGGTGCTATTTCTAGGGCTGGTGGACAAGGGGGCTCTTGCTCCTTGAAGGTCATGCAGGCCATCAGGTCAACCGTTCTATTGTTGTAGTCAAATTCATTGTCATACTAGGCAATAAGCTTGACAAAGTGGTTGGTGAGGACCATGCCAGCACCAGGATCAAAGGTGGAAGAGTGGGTGTCACAGTATTGAAGTCTAAGAGATAACTTGCTCTTTCGTGTATCTAGGATCCCATTGACACCTGCTTAACCACTTTCTTGATGGCATCATACTTGGCAGCTTTCCCCCAAGGACAGATCAAATCCACGCCCAATACATTAGTGATTGAGATATAGAAGGCAATACTAGTGGGTTTCCCATTCAGCTCAAGGATAACCTTGCCTATGACCTTGGTAGAACCAGTAGATACAAAGATGATCTTCTAGGCAGCCCCATGGCTAGCAGGCCAGAGTTACGCAGAGGGAGGACTGTGTCATCCAAAGTCTTCTGGATAGCTGTGATACATGGACTGTGGTCATGAGTTCCTCCACAATGCCAAAGTTGTCATGGGTGACCTTTGTTTGTGTAGGGGGCATTGCTGACAATCTTGGGGAAGTTGTCATACTTCTTGTGGTACACACCCAGCTCATCACAAATATAGAGTCATTGTAGGAAGGGGCAGAGATTATCATACTTGTGACACCACTCTTGAAGTGAGTCCCAGCCTCCACTGTGGTTTTAAAGACACCAGTGGGCCCTATGACACACTGCTCCTCGAAGATAGAGATGGGCTTCCCATTGATAACAAGCTTCCTGTTCTCAGCCTCAATGGTGTCATTGAACTTCACATGAGTAGAATCATACTGAACAATGTAGATGATATTGAAGGTCAATGAAGCAGTCATTGATGGCAACAATGTCCACTTTGCCAGAATCAAAAGAAGCTCTGGTTACCAGGTACCCACTATAGCCCAGACTCTTTCCTCTTACCTACACCATCATGCCCCAGGGATGTGACTGGGGCTGAACAAGAAGATTGAGCTGCCTGTTGCCCAAAGAGGAGATGAAGTCATTTGGCATTTTTAATAGTACCTACCATAAAAGATTGAAAATCAAGGATGTAATCGTGAGGACTGAGGTGTGCCTGACCAATGCTATGGTATTTTCAAACACCTTGTAAGCTTGTGAACGTTGGACAGTGAATAAAGAAGACTAAAGACAAATCCATGCACTTGAATTGTGGTGCTGCTGAGTATTGGAAGTACCACGGATTGCCAAAAGGACAAATAAATCTGTCTCGGAAGAAGTATAGCTCCTTAGAAGCAAAGGTGATGAGACTTCGTCTCACATACTTCAGACATGCTATTGGGAAAGACCAGTCCCTGGACAATGACGTCATGCTTGGTAAACTAGAGGAAAAAAGAAGACCCTCAACAAGATGGATTGATATACAGTGGCTGCAGCAATGAGCCCAAACCTAGCAAATGTGACGATGGCACAGGGCCAGGCAATGTTTGGTTCTGCTAGACAGAACGAGTTGAAATCAATTCAATGGCATCTACCACCACCACCATAAGGATATGTTATAAGATTAAAACAAGTACATGAAAAATATGAGGATAGTACCTGACACACACTAAGGATTTAATAAACGTGAAATAGTTAATTGCTGTTAATGCTATTATTGTTATTTTATCATCAGCATCACCCTTCTCAAGTTGTTGCTCTTCCTAGCCAGATTTTGATTGTGTTCAAGAATGCCTCTCTAGTTAACACCCTACTCCTCCATGCATTGTCCCAGTATGTCTACTTTAAGCTTGTGTTTGCAAACAAACTAGAGCCGCCTTCATAAGCTCACCTGATGTGTAGTTCTTCAGAAATGGAAATGAGCAGCAGCATTTTTTTGTCTACAGATTATAGAGGCTTTTATCAGGAAAATAAGCCTTTTTTGCATAATGGCTATAATTCTACTCTTAAATTACAACACAGGAAAAATAAATACTATGGAGGTTGAATTTTATAAAGCTTGATCCTTTGAGATATCTAAAATGAAATAAAATAATTATAATACTTACTTAAAATTAATTGATTATGGCTCCTTTGGCTTTACAAAATGTGTTTTCTGCTTGGTTTGTAGAATAATCTCCTGATGCTAGCTATTCTGGCCTTTGAAGTTACAATTTACCGGCATCAGGAATACTATAGAGGTCGAAACAACCTTACAGCCCCTGTGTCTAAAACTATCTTTCATGACATTACTAGACTCCACTTAGATGATGGGATTTTGAACTGTGCCAAATACTTCATTAATTACTTCTTCTACAAGTTCGGCTTGGAGGTGAGTTTCTTCCTGGCATATTTTTTTTCCTATGAAAATTCAAATAACTGTTTCTGGTCAGTTGGCTACTGTAACTTCATCGCACATCTACAGGTCATTTTGAATGACGTCTCAGGATTGATGAAGGCATTTCTACTATGAGGTTAACCTGTCGTGTTTTCTCAATGCTTCCGATAGTGTATTCGTGAGCTTGGCTTTTCTTTGTCTCTATAGCCATAGACATTCATGTACAAAAGTTATTTAGACATGTTTACTGATACTACGTTAATTATATAACATATCTTAGAATATATATATAATCTATAAATAATATTTTTGTGAATTCTGAAACATGCTACCTTCACACAAAATGAACTGTTTTAACTTAAAATGGCTGGGTTAGTTAGTGTTACTTAATAAAATGAATTTGGAACAGTTTTGTTTCATGAAGAGAGCATCATTAAATAAAATAGCTATTCTCTACAGTGATATAATGAGTTTTTCTCCTGGAAGTACTACAGGACTTTTGTCTTCACATTAAGAGATATCCCAAACTGAAAAGGCATTGAGAAAAAAAAACAGGCATATCCTCAGAAAGGCAAGGCTTCTGCCACGGGGCTGACCCTGGCACGACGCTCCTTTCCTGTAAGCCCAACCTCTTGTCTCTTTTCATTCTTATGCAGACCTGTTTTCTAATGTCAGTTAATGTAATCGGTCAGCGAATGGATTTTTATGCCATGGTCCATGCCTGCTGGCTGATTGCGGTCTTGTACCGGCGACGAAGAAAAGCCATCGCTGAAATCTGGCCCAAGTACTGCTGCTTTCTGGCATGCATCATTACGTTCCAGTACTTCATCTGCATCGGCATCCCGCCAGCTCCCTGCAGAGGTGACCCTGCCTTCCCCAAGATCGGTTTGCTCCATCGTAAGGCATTAGGAAGTAGAGAGTGGGAGAAGAACACTATTAACTCCTTGTCCCTACTTCCCTCCATGCAGATTACCCATGGCGCTTCAAAGGGGCCAGCTTCAACAACAACATCATCAAATGGCTCTACTTCCCTGACTTCATTGTGCAGCCCAATCCGGTGTTTCTTGTCTGTAAGTATTTCAGCCCCAGGAATGGGGAATATTGCCGGTTGGTTTTATTTGTTAATTACTCCTCATGTGTTGTGCATTCGTGCCTTGCTCCCTCCGTGGGGATTTTGCTTGCTCCATTACATTCACAAAATTAATAAGCATGAGACCATTATTCACTTTTATGAAATCACTTCCACGGATACAACAATCAGATGATAAACTAGAGGGAGGCCTTGTATTTTGTTAGCTAGTTGTCTCCGGCTGCTGCTACAGTTACGCCAATCCTAAAAGTTTGATTGTGGTAGCTGGAAAGATGCTACACAAATTTCGGGACCTCCGAAGCTGGGCTTGGTGACTCAGTGAGTTAAGCATGAGGCTGCTAACCACCAGGTTGACAGTGCAAACCAACTAAGCTGTCTGATTTTGGAAAGATTGACCAACTTGAACTGAGAGAAGCAGTTCTACTCTGCCCCGGATGGTTATGTTAAGTCGGAACCGATTTGATGGGAGTGAGTTTGATTTGAGGTTTGGATCTAGGCTGCAACTGCAAACCTGTTCAAGGGCAAAGCTGGTGGTCTGAAGGCTCAGCTCAACTTCAAGGCCTTCAGGTTTTTAACTTAAAAACTATTCGCACTGACTCTTTATGAAACTGAAAGGCTTGTTACTTGAGGGGCCAGAGAGCGTGTTGAGGGAAGTTCTGTGGTCCTTCACTCTACCCTAGCCAAACCAAAAACTACACTCACTCCCCTCGTGTCAATGCCAACTCAGAGTGACTCTATAGGACAGGGCAGAGCTGCCCCTGTGAGTTTCCGAGACTGTACCTGCTTATGGAAATAGAAAGCCCTGTCTTTCTCCTGAGGCATGGCTGGTGGTTTCCAACTGCCCATCTTGTGGATCACAACCCAACTCATAATCATGCCCAATTCCTCCTTGGGGTAGTCCCTTGCCTCTCTGACACTGCTTCTGGGAGCAGTCGCAGTTACAAATACAAAGCCGCGTGGAGCTAGAGAAGAATGGTGCCTTCATTGGCTTCATGTAAAAAGTGAGAAACTGCTTAAATGGCCTCCTCGAAACTTTGGTGAGAAAAAAAATACAAAGAAGCCTGGTAATATAAGAACGCCATAAAGACTAGTAATTGATACCTAATATATTCACTCATCGACACACAAGCAAAAATTCAGAGATTTACCCATTGAAGCTTCTTCTGTCCCTCCCCCTGCCCACCCCATCCCCCTACTCCAGCACTGGAATCCAGGTGAACTTTATGATGGGCTTTTGGGAAAGTAGCTCCCTTAGGAATTGAGACATCATAAATTGTGCAATGACGTTCCAGAAAAGAGAATGGCATGTGTTGTCTTCTCTTTGACTTGCCAGATGACTTCATGCTGCTTCTGTGTGCCTCCCTACAACGGCAAATTTTTGAGGATGAAAATAAGGCTGCGGTGCGCATCATGGCCGGGGACAACGTGGAGATTTGTATGAACTTAGATGCAGCCTCTTTTAGCCAACACAACCCCGTACCTGACTTCATTCATTGCAGGTAACAATAGCGTTATATTTTCTAAGCACCTCTTGGCTGTGTGCATTTCATTTTATTGAGCTCTCCATTTACAATTCGCTCTCTGCCCTTGTGTCTCACGCTGCCACCAGAAGCATTTTTTCATATGGTGGCTTTAAAAAACAGATACGTGTTTGCTCACTGTTCTAGAGACTAAGAGCCCAAAGCAGGGTCTCAGCCACATAGATTCCTGTTGGGGTCTCACTTAGGGATGTGGCATGGCTTTGCTACTTGGAGCTGTCTCTGCAGTATCTAAATTTTGTGTGTGTGTGTGTGTGTGTGTGTGTGTTCTGCTCTTTTATAGACACCACCTAGAAGTGATTAGGTTTACAAGTCTACAAGAAGTGTGTACCAAGATAATGCACATACTCATACCCCTCCACACACTTTCTCACACACACACATACACAAACATTTACATTCAGAACTGCCAGCAGTCCAACTCCACTTTATTCCTTTATTGCAGCAGCAGTGAGGCACTAATGGTGCTTGGGGTGATCCAAGGATAATGAGAAACACTGAGATGTTACTTGATAGTCTTTGTTTAGGAAGTCAACGAAGGGTGTAAGCCATTTTAGACAAGAACTCATAAAATATTTAGAATTATTAAGTAATTTCCTAGAAAAGTTCCCTTACATGAAAAATTTATCTTTAAGGCACCATTCCTTGAGTTTGCTGCAAGGGCAAATTACTCAAGAAGTCAGGGAAGTATGGACTTAGTTGTGCTTACTTCTGGCTCTATACAAACAAGTTCACATGGTTTTTACCACATCCCAGTAAATGATTGTGGGAGAAATATGAGGCATTGTCCTCCTGGATAGAATTCCAACCTCAGGACCCCTCAGGGGAGCTCTGTTCTATAGGGTCACTATGAATCTGAATCAACTCAATAACAGTGACTTTGATTTTTGGTGTCAAGGAATGCAAATTTGAAGAGAGGCTTGTATCCTGTAGAAAGGTGCTATGATAGATTCCAATCTTACTAGCAGTAAACTCTTCAGTGGGTGGGGAAAAGTAAGAAATTATACACTGTCGATTAGTAAGTAAGCACAAGTAAGTATGAATTTACCTTGATTACTGGGTACTCCATTCTATTAAGGATTAAAAATTGCAAAACAGGCTTTGACTTTTTTAGGAAGGTGCTGTTGAGTTGGGTGATAGATGTCACCCATACCTAGAAACTCTAAGGTGGTAAAAAATGTGAACTTGCTCACCACAGATTAATAAACAAGTATGTGCTTACCTTGATTAGTGAGGGATCCAATGCTGGTATGCTGGTAAAATATAGTGCATCTTTTAAGAAGTTACATGTTAACACTCATTTTAGGTTCCAATAGGCACCACCCCAAATCTCAAATCTAGTTGAAGAATATTTATTTATTAAGTCTTAAATAGGAAAAGACAAAGGCACCTCCTTCACAGGATGGAGACTGTTAGCACGAGGTCATCGTGGCTCCCAGGGGTTGCGGGGATGCAGAGGCTTACACAGGACATGGAGGAACACAGAAGGTCAAGGGAACCATCATAAAGGCACACTTGGTGCTAGATCCACACATCACGGTCACAGGCGGGACTACAGAAGCAGGAATGGGGCTATGACTGGGACGCATCCAAAAATGTTGTTGGAGAGAAGAGCTTACAAGATTGGCTCAGGGCTCTTGAACCCAGATAGTCAAAATATGACCCATGACCACACAATTTAGGCACCCCAATTCCCATCAGGGCACACAAGGGCTAGTCTACTTCTCCCTGGACCAGCTAGGGCAGTGACAGTAACCACTCTCTAAGGCACTCTGAGAGCAAAGTGATTCAGGCTGGTGGTCAATGGTCACCCCAGCCCCACCAAACTCACTGCATCGGGTCACTGCCAACTCATAGTGACCTTACAGGACAAGGTAGAACTGTCCCTGTGAGTTTCTGAGACTGTAATTGTTGACAGGAGTAGAAACCCCATCTCTCCCATAGAGTGTGGCAGTTTCAAAGTGTGGACTTCGTGAATTGCAGCCCAGCGCATACCCACTACATCCCGAAGGTTCTTTCTGAAAAGCGAAAAGACCAGAGCTCACAAAGTGCTTTCCCGATTATCTTTCTTTCTTTCTCTTTAAAATCATTTTTAATGGGGGCTCTTACAGCTCTTATAACAATCCACACATTAACTGTATCAAGCATATTTGCACATAAGTTGCCGTCATCATTTTCAAAGCATTTTCTTTCTACTTGAACCCTTGGCATCAGCTTCTCTTTTTCCCTCCCTCCCGCACCCTCCCACTTTTCTATTTTAATGTTATTGTTGCACTCCCTCACTGTTTGGTTTTGCTTTCAGGTCTTACTTAGATATGTCCAAAGTGATCGTCTTCAGCTACCTCTTCTGGTTCGTCCTCACGATCATCTTCATCACGGGAACCACCAGGATCAGCATATTCTGCATGGGTTACTTGGTTGCCTGTTTCTACTTCCTGCTCTTCGGGGGCAATTTGCTGCTGAAACCTATCAAGAGCATCCTGCGCTACTGGGACTGGCTAATTGCATACAATGTTTTTGTGATCACGATGAAAAATATACTGTCAGTAAGTGGCTTCCCCTGTATAACACACTGTGGCTTTTATGTCAGCATAAATAATCCATCGGTGGTTATTAAAAGCCCATCACACAGCTCTCTTAAAAGCCCCAAGTAAGGTGTGGCACACTTGGAATTCGGATGTCCACTTACTTCTTCGCTGTTTTGCCACATTAAGCAGAAAGAATCCTTTTAGCTCATTTCCAACCACTTAAGTTCACATGATAAGAGGAGCTCCCTCTATATTTATGGATTTCAAATATATAAATATGTATTTGAAATCCTGTTCCTTCTAAGGACTGATTCATCATCATTTATATTCATACTAGGAACTGAGAAAGTGACTCTGTATGAGCTGAATCCATCACTAAGTCTCTTTAAAAAGAAATATGTTGGTTAAAAGCAACACTTTTACCTAAAAGAAATTGTATCAGGATTAAGTAAAGTGAATATAAAGCTCTATAATATTGCATGGATGGAGAAGGAGGTGAAATAAACTATTAAATAATGTTGGTTTTCCTGTAGATGTGGGTAGAAATTCATAGCTTTTGAGTTGATACTGACCCAATATCAAACCCTAGGACAGAGTAGAACTGCCCCTGTGGGTTTCCGAGACGGTAACTCCTTCTGGTAGTAGAAAACCTTGCTTTTCTTCTGTGGACTGGCTGGTGGTTTTGAATTGCTGAACTTGTCGTGAGAAGCCCAGTGTATAACCACTACCCCACCAGGGCTCCTGTTTAAGGGAAAGAAAAAAAACACCTCACTGCCCTTGAGTCAATTCTGACTCATAGCAACCCTACAGGGCAGAGCAGAACTGCCCCTTTGGGTGTCTGAGATGGTAACTCTTTCTGGGAGTAGAAAACTTTCTCTTGCTCCTGGGGTTTCCAACTGCTAACTTTGCAATCCACAGCCCAATGTATAACCCACGATTCCTCCACCCAAAATGTAGCTTCCTGGTTGCCTTCCAGAATAGGCCACAGGTAAGACTGCGTAGACTGTGCCCTAAAACAGATTAGGGCACAGCTAAGCCTGGATGATTCATATGGTTTTCATTCTTGGCTGCTAACCAGGAGGTCAAAAGTTCGAGTCAACCTACAGCCTCCTTGAAAGAAATCCCTGGCAATCTATTTCCCAAAAAATCAGCCGTTGAAAACCCTATAGAGCACAGCACTGTTCTGACATATGGGCGTGCTATGAGTGGGAGTAGACTTGATAACAACTGCATATAAGGTTTAAAATGACATACAAAAAACAAACAAGCAAAAGAACCAAACCTCACTGCCATTGGTTCGATTCCATCTCACAGTGCTCCTTCCCTCTGGTACATAAGGATGGGAAAATACACCTCTCTTCCCTACAAGGTTCAGCTGCTCTGCTATTAAACAGCTATGTTCAAGGAACAATTGTTTTCCTCATTTTAGCAGACAACTCAAAATGCCTGCTAGTAATTCTAGAATCCCATAAAGTCTTTTCGGCCATACGGACACCGCTTAAGTTTATTGCTTCAGAAAACTAGCAACACCACACTATGAGTTGAAGGATAACTCCTTCAATAATATCTCTCTGATCTTAATTTACAGTTAATTCCTGTTCCTACTTCTCCCAAACTACAATTGACAGTGCATTAAAGAAACGGTGATGTAATGATTTCCTGCTTTTCCTCTTCCTAGCTATTGAGAGATGAGCTCACTAAGCAATTTAACAGTAAAAACTATTTGAGGTTTTTTTATTGTTAGAAAGATGAAAAATCAAGTCTATGTAGCTATGAATATGGGTTTGAATAATTCATTATGTTTATAATCCGTTAAATGCTAGTTTTCTAGTTAGTAGTAAAAGTAATTTTTGTTAAGCACTTTTACCCTACCAATTTTTTAAAATTATTTTGGCCTAATATTGAGAGTTATTGGGGATGGCATTAGATGGGGCAACAGACTGCCAGGTCATTCAAAACTAGTCTGATGTTAAGTGGCCTGCTGTTTGAGACCAATCATTACATCCCCTCCTGGGAAATATATGGATACAAAATCTACTCATTCATTCATTCACTCCATAAACCGATACTTCAGCTGTATATTTTACAACATGCTGTTTTATCTGAAGAAGAACTAGATATAAATAGTAGTCACATTCTAGAAGAGAAGATAGACCTACTGACAATTACTAGACAATCTGTCAATGATAATTACTACAATGTTTTAGGAAAACATGTTCTAATAAGAGTTCGTAATATTGTGCCCAAGTAAATTGTGATTAGATTTTCTACAGAAGTTACACTTTGCACCCATCAGAGATGTAAAAGAGATTTAAGACTCTCCAGAGAGACCAAAAAAAGAAATAAGTTCCCAACAGAAAGAGAGCCAAAACACTGGCATGGAAGGATGAAGTGGAAATATTGCTTTTGGAAGCCTGTTTCAACGGGGATACTGAGCTACCATTAGAGAGGGAAAAATCCCAGCTATTATTCTACCTCACATGTGCCCCAGAGATATACCCAATTTGGCTATCACCTTTATGCACTGGTTTGTAATGATCAATATTTAATTTAATATCCTCTCTATATTTCAGATAATTATTTTAGCCATAAATTTGACAAAGTAAAAATTAAAACACATGCTTTTTTTCTGTTCTAAGGAATATACCCTGAAGCCTATATTTTGTTCTCATGTGTAGATAATTTTGACTTAGAAGAAAATAATTATACCAACATGGAGTCTCTGAGCTTCAGGGCTCTGCTTACCCACTAAGTACCTCAACGTTCAGCTTGTTTCTATAGTAATTCAAGATCTCCTCTTAGGAGAGAAAGTTGTTGCCAAGTAAAGAACATTTTATTCTAAGGGGTCACCCTCACTCATTTGATCTATTTTTCCCCATAGGAAATTATGGTCCTTCTGAGGCATCTAATGTGTGGCTTTATGGTGATTAAACTTTAAAATATGATTGACGTGGAGACTTAGTGAATTCTTGCATATGACTGGTGCACAACACACCACTCTCCTTTTTTCTGGGGGAAGAGTGTACCAGCATTGACTTTCCTTCTCTGTCTTTCAGATTGGAGCATGTGGATATATTGAGAGTTTGGTTCAGAATAGTTGCTGGTTGATCCAAGCATTCAGCTTGGCCTGCACAGTCAAAGGCTATACCATGCGTAAGTATGACAAGCAGAGTCCGGCACGAAGAAGGAAGGATAGTTGGATTGTTCTAGTCTAGAAAGTCGACAGCCACACATTTTTTTTAAGATCAAGCTTCTCTCGAGATGGAGGCGCTAGAACTGTAGTTTATTATTGATCTATCATCTGTAGTCTCAGTATCTTTGATTATTTAGAAAGTTCACAAACCTAGCAGGTCTGGATATTTGATGTGATGATATCGTACTCTCTGAAGGTTTTTGCGGTTTGCTGTGGTAGTACAAAATTAGGTGGGAGCCATCCTCTGACCTCTTCTGCCTCCCAGGATTGATTGTAATAAGGCAGATTTTTAGGAGGCTGGAGTCTGATGTACTCCCACCCTCCAACTTTCCTTACTAGTTCTGACGCCAGCCATCCTTTCCCAGGAATGCTCCACTTCTCAGTTAATTGTAATGGCCACAGAATTACTCATGATTATTGGGTTTATTAGGAAAGTTAAGAGATGACAAGTCAGGTGAAAAATGTTCAGAATATAGTTGTTCGATTAGAACAGTCTCTGCCATTGCCTCAGGTAGGACTCTCACTGGTCCTCAGCCCCTTGACCGGGCCTATGCCCTTCTAGAGCAATGTTACAAAGTAGTTTTAGGGTTGCCAATAAGTTCTCAAAGGGTACACTATTCCCCACATAGCCTCAGCCCCATTATATTCAGCGATAGCAACATGGGTCAGCAAACCTAGTTGCCTGGAGGCACCTTATTCCACAATCCAGCCTCCTAACTGGAGACACACAGCTTGACTTGCTCCATGGTTTGGGAAGTCCACAACTCTGTCTCTTATTCTGGCTCTGGGTTCTGTGGTTGCCCATCCTCTGGTGTCAAATTTATCTCCTGGATCAATGTGGTTCAATGCACAGGGATGTCATGGTTCAGAAGACATACTCCACTCCTTTCTGCTTCTGATATGGCTGATTTTATAACCAGCAGGATAGCAATCACAATTAACTCTATTCCCAATCACTCACAGCTGAATCAGATAATTAATTCTGTGCCTTTCCCACCCAGACCCATCAAGTAAATAAGTTAGTAACAAAGGTGATGACTAAGAGAGCCATATTAAATAATTCACTGCATTACAGCAGTTTTTTATTCACCAATGCATATACATTTTGTTCCATCTAATTGATTGCAATCCCCATGATATAACATCCCTATCCTACTCCCTCCCGGTTTCTTTCCTGATCCTCTGAACACTGTCCTTGCTGCCCTTTTGCTCTCAAATAGTTAATTATTTTAGCTCATGGTTACCTCTCAAAGTGTTTTGGTTCCCCTGATAGACCTTTTACGTGGCTGAACATGGATCCATGGTGATGAGTTAATTTTCGGATCTGACAGGTGACTGTTAGTGGTGACGCTATCACCAGCCTCTTTCCAAGAAGTAAGCCTGTTTGTTTGTTTTTATGCTCGTAAGTTTTGTCCCACATTGTTCTCCCACTCTATCCAGGACTTTCTGACGGGATCCCTTCCAGGAGTTTTTGGAAGTTGTAGTAAGGCAACGTCTGGTTCTTCAGGTCTCTGTGTCACAGCAACCGATGGTCTGCTTGACTGTCGACATGCATCTTTGATTTTCTTCACTGTTCATACTCCAGGCAGGATGCCGTCTCACAAGTGTCAAGACACTAATAACTATTGTCACCAATCACTGTTCACCAAAGAAGAATTAGACCATTCTTTTTGTGGACCAGGTTATGCCAATTAATCGTAGTGTCCCGTTAGACAATGGTCCTGATCCTTCTGGTCTGGTAGCTTCTTCCCTCCAGGGGCCTGTATACATCTAAGAAGTTTTCATAACTTAACACCTTCTATACTCTACTACATCCTATTATTAAAAGTAGACATATTTATAGCATCAGAAAATACATATGTGGAACTAACCTCCATCAAGTCTCTAAATATATATTTATAGGTTTAGTCCCATTCTCTTTCTTATACCTGTGTAGCTTATGAAGTTTGAGCCCATTATTGGTGCCACTGTGTCAATCCATCTAGTGGAGGCTCCTCCTCTTTTTCACTGACCCTCTTATTTTATCTCAGAAACTCACAGGGGCTTTTCTACCCTGTCCTATAAGATCCCTGTGAGTCAGCTTCGACTCAATGATGGTTGTTTTGTTTTGATTTGGTTTGTTTCTACTTTATCAAGCACCCTCTCATAAATAACCATTGTGAAAAAGCTATAATTATAATAGTATTACCTCTGTTTCTTCTAAATCTTACACTCTGAGTACCCTTCCCTGCCTTTATCATTTTTTCCTGATGTGTTTCTTTTCTTAAATTTT